ATTTTTTTGATTTTTTTTAATATTGCTCTAATAAAGAAGTGTTACTTGGTGCTGCACTCACTCTCGCCAGCCAGGCCCCTCCCAGCCCCAGTTTCCCATCTCCAGCTCCTCGAACGTTACACTAAAACAAAAGTTCTAAGTTGAAAATTTACACATACAAGAAAGCGAAATTGCATAAAAACTTTCAAAAATCGCGTGTACTTAAAAAAGCAATACTTTGTAGGTAGATTTTTCTTTTTTGATTTTTAACTACTAACATTGTACTGACCGCAATGATGCACACGAGAAGAAAGTTGAAGAGCGAACGCGGGACGCAAGGAAAGATGCAAAAGTGCCTGGCAATGCTTAGAGTGCGTATCTTGTGAGTAGACTTTCTGTCAGATGAGCAGTGTGAAGGATGCCCCCCAGCTACAACAGAAAGTCAAATTTGATAGGCAAAGCACGGTTCTTGGCAGACAACTGGTGCAATGTCGTGTGCCAACGGTACTCGCAAAAAAACCCCCGCACGACCGTTTGTGCAACCCCTGCGAAGAGTGAGGTATGAATATTATCCAAATAGCCCAACGCCGAAGAGTCCGGCATTGTGGCCAGTGGTCAAATCAGGATATCCAAACGGACTGTACCTTTAAACATTGTACGCATAATTCAGCTAGTGCTGTGCAGCTCCACTGTTATCCAGATGCAAATACACTTCCCATACCGCTAAAACGACATGTCCCCAGTTTGTGCCGGTCGTCCTCGTTACGTACAAATGTCACCCTCTTGGGCAACCAGCCAACTTCAAAGCGAGCATTCGGCAAAAGAAGCAAAGCAGTGCCTTTACATTTCAGGATCCCGATGAAAATGAACACCACCACAGTGGATGCATCTCCACAGTAATCGAATTTTGGAGAGAAAAAAGCAGCCCAATTACAATCCCTTCTCCATAACTCGCCCCCGCCACTCATCCCAACTGCCTCCCCCCTCCTCCACTTCCCCATCGTGCTCGTGGACTATTCCATCCAATTTGCTCTAAATAGTAACAAAGTAACGGCTGCTAAGTAGGTTGCAGCTTCCAGGTCAATCCTGGAAGAGCAGACGGTGGGATGCGCAAATGCAAGAGAAAGTAATGAAGTTTGGTGGTGAGAGTGAGATAAGACGTTTCGGTCCATTAAGTCATATACGTCTTAACTCCACACTGCGACTGCACCTCGTCTGGATGGCGGTCGCAGTGCGTAAGGAAGAAGAAAGAAGAGGAGGAAGAAGGGAAGAGAGTAAAGAAATTCTGAAACTGTTATTAATCCTCGAATTCAACAAAAAAATAACTGCACGAACCCTGCATGTACCTCAGCCAAAGTTCGCTCATTTTACTCACAGAAGCCTCAAACACTAGCAAAGAACAATGGCTAAACCGTAGATCTCTAGCAGAGCACAGAACAACCAGAAAAGCGCCCACGAATCCCTTTCCCACGGTCAACATTGTCAACGAGCAATATCGGAAAAGGTGTGCATGCCCCCGACAAGTGGATATAAGTGAAAATCCAGGCTGCAACGCATCAGGCTTGCAGATGTGGTCATCCGTTTTTGAACATGAACTTGAAGCAGTCAGGCCACTAACTGTATGGGTGATTTTTGCTTAACATTTAGCTTGTGTACTCACCGGTGTAAATCATCGTAAATTTTGCATAAAGGAAGAATTTCCGTTGAACGGTTGTTCACCG